TACTCCTCCTGCGAGGACTGCAACGTCACATGAGGCTAAATATGTCATTCAACTAATCCTTGCAGTTAAGAGATTTATGGAATACGTTGACCCCATAGATTGGAAAGAAAGGTTCCCGATTGGTGGAACATCTTCCTGGTCTGGGAGTGGTTTGGCCACTGCCTCCACTTGCTGCATATTAGAAAAAATAAAAACACACAAACAAAATCTAGCAAGAGAGCGAGAGAGAATCAAAAGGTCTTGCCGCTTCTTCTAAATCTCTCTTTGTTATAGATAATTTTAATGCATTATCTACACAATGTGTACCATACATAGTTACATAGCTGAAAAGAGACTTGAGTCGATCAAGTTCAGCCTTTCACACGTTTTTGCTGTTGATAAAAATGAAGGCAAAAAAACCCAGTCTGAAGTGCTTCCAATTTTGCAACAAACTAGGAAGAAATTCCTTCTTGACCACAAAATGGCAGTCAGATATCTCCTTGAATCAAGCAACCATTACCCCACTAATCAGAACGTATATACCTGTATCTTTTGTTTTTGCAAGTATTTATCCAATTTATTTCTAATAAAAACATATGTATGGACTGATAAAACCACATCTTCAGGCAGAGGATTCCATATCCTTATTGCCATTACTGTATAAAAAAAACAAAAACAAAAAAAAAAAACCCCACCTTTTCTTTGCCTTAGTCGAAATCTCCTTTCTTCCAGCCTAAATTTTCATCCCGAGAATTGGCCCTATTCATACATGACAAAACCTTACTGGCGTTCGCAACTGCAGATTGACCTACTGCTGCCTAATTTGTTGTCTAACAATTCCCAAATCCTTCTCGTGTGTGCTTAACCCTAATTCACTACCATTTAGGGTGTTCGTTGCTTGTGCATTCTTGACCCTGAAGTGCATAACTTTGCATTTCTCTACATTACATTTCATCTGCTATTTTAGTGCTCGGTCCCCCAATCTAGCCAAATCCCTCTGCAGCAAAGCAATATCCTGCTCACATTTTATTACTTTACAAAGCTTTGTGTCATCTGAAAACACCAAACACATGACTTTCAATGCTTATTTCAAAATCATTTATAAATGTTAAATAGAAGTGGTCCCAAAACAGAACCCTGAGGGGCACCACTTACCACTTTTGACCAGTTTGAAAATTTACTATTAATGACAAGTCGCTGTGCTCTATCCTAAAGCCGATGTCCAACGAAGAACAAGAATATTCATCTAGACCAATTTCTTTTAGTTTGAAGACTAACCTATTGTGAGTAACCGTATCAAATCCCTTGGCAAAATCCACTGCAACACCCTGATCCATACTTCCACTTCTTCATAGAATGCAATTAGGTTAGTTTGACATGACCTACGTTTCATAAAACCATGCTGATTATTGCTAATAAAGTTCTTACCAATTAATTCCTGAATATTATCCCTTACCAGCCACAGATCTATAATTTCCAGGCAAGGATTTTGAAAATCATTAAATTGGCGGAGATGGTCAATTTTGATCATCTCAGTCAAGGAGGCGGGTTGGGTGGGCGAAGCCAAATACCACCCTGGCCAGTCAACATCTTCACAGATATGCATTATATCAATGCACCTCTATGGGGAAAACTAAGCAACTCTGCTGAACACCAGTGCTGCATACTATATTGGCCATCTGAGGAGTTACCCCTAGAAGTGTTCCTAAGCTGAAATGTAAACACTGCCTTTTATCATTAAAAAGCCTGCACAGACTGACTTTACTCCCCAGAACAACTACATTGAACTGTAGTTTTTCTGGTGACTAAATTAAAGAAAGCAAAAATAATTTGGTATACCAAACCATAAGATACATACGTGGTCTGACCGTAAAGAATCCAGCCATGTAATATGAAAAATACATTTATTGAAGAATATACAAGAAATATTGTACATAGGACAATGATGCTTCAGCCCCCTTCAAAGACATCATGAGACCTCACAGTTTTCCCAGCATCTCTTCCACTTTTCAAAATCCTTTGTTGGAATTGACATCAGCTGCCTTGTATTAATCTGAATCTCACTGACGGTCTGAAATCTATTCCCTTTTAAAGGTGATTTTAGTTTTGGGAAAAGACAGAAGTTGCAGAGCATGTAATCTTGCCACAGATTCTCGACCATCTTTAAAGCATTTATGCCACACTTTCATTTGGACTTATTGCATTGTCCCCAAAAGCCTTCTGAATCATCCGAATTTCCACATAGGAATGTTCAATCTAAATGCAAAATTTGAAGTCATTGCTGTACTCGCTCATTTTGAATGAGACGGTCACACAGTATACATGCTCACTAAACAGTGTCTAGCGCACCCACTGACTAGGACAGTGAAATAGTCATTTTTCACATATGCGCATTCCAGCCCACTCTCGTTGGCTGCCAAGTTACATTGATATCGCTCAAACCATCCTTTCGTTATATAATAATTGTCCCCTGGACAATGGTAGAACATGGTTATAAATAAAAGTAAAATGTTTTGTCTATACAGAAATAAGACTAAGTCTCCTGACCATAAGGCTTTAACAAAAGGTTTTAATTCTAAATATCAATAATAGGCAGTATAGTCCCCAGATTAATAAACATAAACCAAATAATAGTGAGGGAGACAAAATACTGCTAATAGCATAGTATTGCTAAAACATAAAAAATATTTACGTATAAAATATATATTATACACCCTATTTTTCCATGTATAAGATTTTTTTCTACATTTTTTTTTGTCTAAAATTGGCAGTCGTCTTAAACACGGAATGTCACTGCGGGGGTTTAAAAAAAAATGTAAAAAACAAAACAAAAAAACACAACACACTTGTGTGCGGGTAAAAAATGAAGGGGGAAGAGTCTGCGCTTAATAACAAGGGAGCTGCAACCCACAAAAGGAGTCCCTCAGAAACCCTTTAAAATAGACGAAAAAAGAAGGGGGTTGGGGCTGCGCTGCGTTGATAGTTGACTAAAAGTCAATGGATATAAAACATACGTTAAGTTATAAAACACTGATAAATTGGTATAGTATAAAAATATTTAAGAGTGATGTCCGTATAGATGTATTAATAAAAATGGATAAAAAGTAGAGAAATTCCAAGTGGAGTAAAATGAAGTAAAAACAGTCTCACTGATATCAGGTATGTTTGTGGTCCTCGGGGATGATTCCGTCCGGATTAAAATTCGTCCATTTATGTGAAAATAAGAAACACAAAAAGAACTGCTGATAGTGAAGTATTGTCAATCCAAGGATAGGAAATTGAATCCAATGACTTTTAGTCAACTATCCACACACTTGTGTGCGGGGCCTGACAGCCAACCAACCTAATCGCATGTGCAGGAGCTCCTTCACAAATCAAATTATTAAGCCAAATACTTATGGTACTTACTCAGCACAATTTGGGCACAAAACTTGGCTACTCGCTGACAGAACACTCAACTGACTTTTGGGTTTGCTACGGCCAGGTTCCTGCGGGCATAGGCTGTGTTGTACACCTCTGCGCAATGCTGAATACTTGAAGCGGAGGAGGTGCTTCTCCATGAATTTGAGCAATATAAAGAAAAATCCATATGGACTCTCACATTCTAGCAAGAGGTTACCGGAATATCAGAAAGTGCAACTTTTCTTGTGCTGGGCTCGTGTGTTGCTCTTTAGTCGAGATGTTCATCGTTCTTCACTGTGTTGCTCCACTCTGTTATCCTTAATCTAGTATTGTCAAATGTGTTTCACCCATTCAGGGGTTTTATCAATGGCTCACCCAACAGGCAGTGTAGGTACATTACATCTCCCATATAAATGTTACACTCTTACACAGTGCTCGTAAAGGTGAGGATACATACACACTAACAGGAACTTGAACCACTATGTGGCTCTGTGGGTTTTTTTTCCCTTTTTTCCCCCCCTCTTTTTACTAAAATTTCCAGTTTTCAAAAAAGTTAAATTTTCAGTTTAGTAAATTACCTCAAAAACTGGTGTAGTCTTCTGATGACTTCTAGACTAATTTGCAAAGAAAGTGAAATATTTAGTTTAATTTCATGAAAATCCTTGTCTATTTATGATTTGTTTATAATTTAGAGTATTCGTAAATTATTTGGATACTCCCAAAGCCATAATCCACGGTTTCATTTCTACAGCTGCAGGTTTTATAAACAAAACAAAAAAAAAAGCAGCAGAAACAGGGAAAGTAAAATAAATCAGATCATCTCTCAAACATCTGAAAAAGGAGGGGGAGGTCACAGAATGTAGCAAAATTATACAAACTTGATGATGGATGTAATACGTACCAGTCAGGCTGAATTGCATTTTTTTAATTTTGGATTGTTAGAATCTTTCGTTAAACTCCAAGTTTAAAAAAAAAAGTGTACAGGTACCATACGAGGAAGAACAAAAGCATTCAATAGCAGCTTAAAGTAGATCTGCTTTGCTTTTAAAATCTCTTTTTTGTCCCTATATTTATTCTTGGTTTTATTTATTCTAAATTACCTTTGTTTTGGCAATGGGCACAAGGTAACTTTCCAAGTAACTGTCCAACTGAACCAAAACAAAACCTTGAAATTTCACTACGTGTTTGTTCCACCATGTTTTCAGGGTTCTTTTTAACCCCTAGAGGAAAGTAACAAATTGTAAAAGTTATGTGGCGGGCCCCACCGCAAAATCAAAAAGATTTCAGCAGATGGTGGCAGATTAAACTCCAGTCAGTCAAATCCCAAGAGTTTAGATGGCAGCAGTAAAGGCAGTGGAGGGATGCTCGGGACACTAAAGTTCCTCACGGCTCAATCCACGAGTAACACTTCATAAGGTGGTAAAGGCAGTTCTCCAAGCTGAAGCAAGCATGCAGCAGCGGAAAATTTAAATCCTGACTGCGGCAAAGCAGCTTAGTGTATGCAGATATGAGCAGACATAGTTGAAACAACCACATATCAACAGAAGAGTGTTCTAGTTAAAACTGTAGAGAATGGTGTGATGCATCCATTTAAAAGCAGGCTTCCTCAAACGCCGGCACTCCAGATGTTGCTGAACTACAACTCCCATGATTCTCAGCCTATTTCCTTCATAGAATCATGGGAGTTGTAGTTCAGCAACATCTGGAGGGCCGGAGTTTGGGGAAGCCTGATTTACAGGATTTTGCAGTATTTCAGGAATATTTTGTGTTATTGATTCAAATATGTTTTCCCAGCCGATTAAACGGTGATCTGTGCACAAAGCACCAATTACAACCGGCTTGGTGACATGCAGAGAGTCCCTGTCAGGGTCTGTTCAGACCAGACAGTGGGGATACCTTTTTTTTAGGGGAATCCTACAGCCAAGAATCACAAATAATGGAGTGTAATGATTAAGATACAGAAGACTTGAGGAAAGTGCCACTTTAACATCTAGAAAAATACAGTATAACTATACATAGTATTAGCAGCTTGCATATAAATATTTGGGTTCTGCAATATCTTACATTTTAATAAGACTGAAGGTTAAACGTCATAATTGCCATACAAGCTTCGTGGAAATTTGAGACTCCACTTAAAGAGGACCGGTCCCTTTCAGACAAAAAATAACTTACCACTACTGCACTTCTCTGTTTTGATGTTCAATGATGCCTGAGGTACAGGTGTGTGTGCGCACGGGCATCCAAAGGAGTAACTCCAGTCACACATATAAATTATCTCCTACAATGCTTTATGCACAAACATGCCACTGCAAGAGTTGAGTAGTTTACATATTGTGGCTTTGCCGACAACTAGGAGCTAACTTTTCATTAGCTATATGGTTGTACATGGAACAACTTGGGGCAGCTTGAGAAATGGTTTGTAATAGGGCATTCTCCTATCCTTATTTGCAAATTGTAAATCTACATAGGTAACAATAAAATTGGTATTAGATTATGGATATGAACCATATACCAACCCTTCCCCCCCCCCCAAAAAAATGCAAGAGATGGTGGTTCTCACTTTGTGACCTACCTGTTTTGCGACTGTTCACATACGTCCAGCTTTCTAGGGTGGGGATTTAAAAGAGATTCCCTACGTTAGAGAGCTGGTCTATGTTCGAAGTATTTTCCCAGAACATAGATTACAGGGATTCCCTGAAATTTCCCTGAACGTAGACAAACGCACAAAGCATAATAAAAAACAATGTATATATGTTTGCCTACAGCACAGATTGGGATGGGGGGGGAGAGCACACGCAAAAATAAGTTCAGGGAAAATGGAAATAATTTTTTTTTTTTTTTTAAGATTTTGAGAGATAAGCCACACACTCAAAAACAGTGTGGTTGGAAAACAGATGAACAATTATTTTTGACATACGTCCAATACTTTCCACAATGATAATATTCCATGTGAAACTCTACGCTATAGTTTTAACTGAACCTCTGTGTTTAGCAGGTAATACTAAATGTCATTTCACCCACGCATTGCTATGTTTTTTTCCCCCAATTAAATATTAAACACATTGAAAAGTTACTTTGCTTAAAATTAAGGGAACTATACACTCATGATATAACAGAAAACCATGTGTTATACACAGGGACAGCTTTGTTTAAGCACTCAGCGGCAATACCATGACAGCTACTCGTGTAGATGTAACTTAAGACATAAACCATGGACGCTGTGGTAGTAGCTCTGGTTCATTATATCAGAAACAGTTCTCCTCCACAGATTATCATGCAGTACCTTGCAAGCAAACAAAAAAACAGAATATATACTTAGCAGTAGTTCTGAGGGTGAAAGCATCTTTTTGGCTAGATAAATCTGTTGTAAAATGACAAGCCACAAACACCAATTTGCAGAATGGTATATTTGAACCAAAAACACATTATAATGTAAATACGGTCATGTTCAAGTTAAAAATAACACTCCCAGCACTATAATCCCTACAGATCGCTGTAGTGGTTATGATGCCAGAAGTACCCTGGCGCTCTTCTAGAGTAAGCAGTTCATCCATTTTAGTTTGATATTGTACCCTATACGTTACTTGCAATTTTTCTTTCTATTTTTACTTCAGAGCATACATCACAGTCAGGCTTATGATTTTAGTGGGAAGCAGGGTTTGGGCTTTGTGCTCTTTTATGGGTGGGGGTTGTTGGTTATTTCTCCCCCCCCACTTTCTTTTCATGACAGACACCACTATTCCCCTTACCTATGAGAAGATATGGCATAGGTGGGACCTATTGCCCTATTTGTGAGGATTTTCCCCTTATTACAAATGGGGGTCTGACATTCAAGGCTCTCCTCCTGACATTTTTAATGCACTATTATGAAATACTTTTTAGCTTTTACTTTGTTATTGAATAAATAAATTTCATACTTTTCTCCCCACTTTGGGTTTCATTTTAAATTTTGAGATCCCAGGGTTATTTTTTAGAGTATTTTTGTTATCTCTGCTAGTGTTACTCCCTTCTTCAGGGACATAGTTTTGGCAATTCCGTGGAGGTTCTCCATCAGCCCTTTGTGTCCTTCAGGATTGGAGGACCACCTCCCATGTTTCTGTGTATAGATTTGTTACGAAGTTGTCAAACTTGGTCTTAATTTAAGCAGGCTGCCTAGAGTGTTCCTTTTAAATCAGGGATATCAAGATACAGAACACATTGATCACAAAACTAAATAATTAGAACAAAGTTCTCATTAGTCTTGCTTTCTGCTGCAACCTTCAAATAATATAATGCTGCTGAGACAGAAGTATTAGCTCATATAAGGTTGGACAACAATGATAACCTTTAACCCCTTAAAGGACACATCACATGTGAGACATGTCATGATTCCCTTTTATTCCAGAAGTTTGGTCCTTAAGGGGTTAAAGTCCATGCCAAGTATAGGTAAACTATTTAAACACTATTAGAACTTAAAGATTTTTTTTTGGGGGGGAGGGGTTAGAAGAAAGAAAGCTCTTATTGGAATGCAAAATGGATTATTCACTTTGCAACATTACAAAAACTTATTTTGCAAAAAAAAAATCAAAAAAAAATCAGATCAACTGATTTGATGTTCTGCACACAGAGAGCTATAGAACATTTATATCTGAAAGTAATTATAGAATGAAGATATCACAGGACACATGCCAAATAACTTCCTATAGCATCAATGTTAAACAAACAACATTTAAAAATGGGAGAAAGCTAAAATGTGAAATAGTTCATTAAGTTTAAAAAATAAAAAAAAATATGTTTCTCTTTCATGTGATTCTTCAACTAATATTGATAACCTGTTGAATGTAGTTGGTTTTCAAGTCACTTCACATGCAAATGCTTGCATTAGCTTGGTTAAATTAAATAAAGTTAATAGCCATTACTTTTTCTTATGTTGTTTTAGAATATATTTGGAACATTTATATTTATATATATAAAAAAAAGAAATACCTTGTAACATGTATGTGTATGCCATGTGGTCACCAAACTACAGGAGATTAAAGCAGTTGGAGTGCTGGTTTAAAACCCCAAATTGCAACCATTGTTTTGAAATCTGATTTTTAAAAACATGTTTTTACTATTATGATACTCAAAATAATGTAGTAATATTTATCTTTTACATGGGCATTTAAAATATAAAAATTCATGCAAATTTCTAATTATTTAGAAGAAAAAAAAACTAACGTAAAAAAAATTTAATATATATTTTAAAAAAATGAACTAATAAAAAACAATATTTTATTTTGTACCATCCCAATATAACCTGCATAAGAGCTGGTGGGCTTGTGTCAATGTTTTATATATTATTATAAAGGTCTTCAAACTCATAACCTTTATGAATCTATTCATTTTTGCCACTATTCATATGGAATTAATGTAAAAAAGCCATGGTATATTGTGTCAGAGTTTGAACTGGTGACATAATTTGTGCTGGTTGTTTAAAATGTATTCTAACAGTACACAGATGTTTTGAGACACATGGGGGGGATAACAGTAGGGATGAAAACAGACAGGATTTGAAACAAACAATCATAATAGTGTGAAACAGGAAACCAAGGAAGTCTGGCGGAGAAACTTAACGGTAAGGTGCTAGGAAGTAGGAACGCCTGTAATTTCTGTCTGTCAAAATTCTGTTTTACTCGATACAACATTTTCTGCCAATACTGCACATCTTTTTATTGATTAGGGGAGTGGAATTTATAAATATAATTGTCAAAATAAAAAATAAATAAAAAAATCATTGGTTTCATATAAAAGTACAAAGTGTGATCTATATTTTGGAATGGAATGTTACAATTGTGCTCTCCCACCTAAAATAAAAAAATCTTTACTTCTTGCAGATAGCTGGCAAGTCTCCAAGTCTTACCCAGAGAAAACATGTGTTTGCAGCATGTGGTATACAGAGGTACAGTTACAAAATTAGAATGGTTTGGACTATGTGACCCATGCATAAAGGATCTAGGTGTGTTTAGACAGGCATTCAAATAGATTTCATAGCTACATAAATGCAACCTGGGTTATATATTAAGTAAAAGACTTACAATTTAAAGGGCTCTCAAAGCAACACAACCTCAACATATAAAATTTAGTGGTTTTGGTAACAGCATTTCTGCTGGCTCCACCCCCCAGGTCAAGTCAAAAAGGTTTCAGTGATAGGACAGAAAAACTGACTCTCGGTGCCCATAGACTTGAGATATTGCCATTGTGGTAGTCTTATTTCCACATTAGCAATGTCAGTTTTTTTTGCAAATTTGGATGGAATTGATATTGCTAATGTGGAGTACATGCCCTGGGAGAAACTAGGAAATAGGCGCCCAGTGGACCAATGATTTATGTTAAACTGTTTAAAGCCAGATTGAGATTGAACCAGTGGACAGTACCAGGAGCATGCTGGTACCATAACTATTACTGTGGACTGTAGTATTTATGTTGCTTACAATGTCCCTTTAAGTTAGGATTTAACTAAAGTGTTTTTGAAATATTTTCATCATTGGGCATAGCAGACACCTGGGCAACTTAAACATATGAAAATGGGCACTCCACACACTACAACCTATGGTGTAAGGGGTGCGGTTTCACTGGGTCAAAATATATATCACTAAATAGGAAGTTTCCAATGTCAACATGCCTGGAATCCATCATCATACTCGCAGGAGGGAATTATGGTGGGGGGAGAAAGTCTGAATTAATTGC